GTCAAGTACTTACCAAATATAGTAGCAGCTTTAGACACTATTCCAACATGTAAGAGAGGGCTAAAACTAGAATTTTGGGGATTTGGTTCTCAATTTATAAAATCAAATAAGATTTTTAGGTTGGGGCACTTCTCTTGATGACCTTTTTGAAAAGAATCTAGGGCTGAAAGTTATATGCATTTCGGAAAGACAGAGGATGGGGAGGTGGTATTCTTAAAGATTCATTCCTGGAGCTTTACAAGATTAAAAATTGCAAGGTTTTTTAGCGTGTTCATGGTGATATGTTGTTTTTCAGGGTATGTGGAGGAGACAACCGAGAAGAGGAAAAGAAGTTGACAAGCTTGCAATTCTGAACTTAGGCCCTGTTTGATATGCATCTTTCCAGGTCCAAACAAATCTTCCTGGCTAAAGGGACCGGAAAGACTGTTTGATTTACACAAAGGAATGGGTCTTTCCCGGTAAGATATGTCTTTCCCAGAAAGCCCCAAAGTCATATCTTTCTGGCTGAATGGGCTGGAAAGACAATTATACACCATTCCTCACCTCTTTCTTTCTTTATTGGATTATTAATTTTTTTAAATAACTTTTTTTTAATTCATTTTTTTTATTGAAATATTACTTTTTTCATCATTCAGCACAGTCAATCAGATGTACAATCAAACAACATGATTTTTTTCCCAGTCAAAAACTTTCCCAGACAGTATTTTCCCAGACAGAAACTATCAAACGGGACCTTAGTTATGGATGATGTTAAGTTATCCCATGTTTTGGACAAGTGTTGTTGGAGAATTAATGCAATGAGGTTGTTCTCGGTTCAATCTTTAAGGAAATTTATGGCTGAAAAGCTTATCTTTGGTGATAATGCTTGGTAACATTCCAAAAGTCAAGACCAAAATTTTCATTTTAATTAAGTTATTATAAAACTAACAACATAAGAAAATATCCATAATAACATCCCATGTCAAAACCAAAGTGTCAATAATCAAAACATGTTATTATAAAACAATATCAAAGTGTAATCCCAAAGATCTCATTTATGGAAAACATAGTGTGATGCATTGCGATCGAGCCGACTTCTTTCCTTTAAAAACGAAGTACCTGAAACCAAAACTGTAAATCGTAAGAACGAAACTTAGTGAGTTCCCCCATCATACCACATAATTACATACTGTCAGGCATATCTAGGTGCCCGGCCTACCCTGTCAGGCATATCTGGATGCACGACCTACCCTGTCAAGCATATATGGGTGCTCGACCTACCCTGTCAGGCATATCTGGGTACCCGACCAATCCTTTCAGGCATTTCTAGGTGCCCGACCTATCCGGTTTATTTCAACTAGTTACAGGGATTGTTTCACCATTTACCACTACCACATAATAACATAACATAAACATACTGTCAGGCATATCTGGGTGCCCGACCTACCCTGTCGGTCCTTACAACCGATATCGAGGTCTATCCTACCCCTCCTACCACTATCACATAAAACATAGCATACTAGCACATAACACATAGCATATAGTGGCATACCAGACAATTATCACAAAGACAATCATCTCAACTATAATCAACTATTAGTGGGCCGGCATTGGTGCCTTCGACCCCACTTCTACTGGAAGGTAACTCATCTCGCATTGTTGAACTCCCGCAAATAAAAACCTAGTTGCTGGATGACGGGTTCTCGAACTGTCAACACAAAACAACACCCAATTAATAATTAGGTTCCATCACATACCATAAGTCCATGTTTGGGGTAAAAGATTACTTTACCCCCCATCTTAGCTTGATCCAAATCCAAAGGCCCAAAACTCAAACTATGACTCAAAGCCCAACATATGGCCCAATTTTCCAAATTGGGCCCAAACCCTCACATGGGCCTTACCCTAAAGCTCATCCATATATTCTTAGTCCATATGATTGTTCTTGGATGGCCCATTATTAGCCCAATCACCAAAACTCAATAGAAAGGCCCAACTTAAAGCTCATGCAAGATTAGGGTTTTCACACAAAATGACGTTTAGGGTTAAGTGTTTCTTACTTAACCCATTAAGTCCATCAATCTACCACGTCAAACATATAGTGTGGTCGGGCTTAATACATAATCCCAATACGGTCATCCAAAATGTCGGTCCCGACAATCCAAATCCCATATATCCAAAATTAGGGTTTTCTAAACCCTAATTAGGGTTTTCAACCCAATTAGGCCCAAAAGCTAAGTTACATCATGTCTTTTTTAGGTTCGTAGTATTACCTTAGTCTTTATGGTTTGTCCCCTTTGCAATATTGTAGAGGAAGAGGTAGATCATGTCTTTTTCAAGTGCGTTTATTTTGTTTAGATTTGGGGTTAGTTTAGTTCTTAGAGAAACATTTTTTTCGTCCCCTTGAGTGACAGGGAGGATTTTTTATGGAGTTGAAGACCTCGTCTTGTGGGAAGAAAAGAAACAAGTTACATTAGTGACACAATGAGATATTGTGGATTTGAATAGTCCGAAATGCTTTGGTTTTTAATAAGATATATTCTCCTTTGAAAGTGGTTGATTACATCCAATTGAGAATGTTCAGTTGAATAAAGCATAAGGGTAGACCTGCACATTTGCGGTCCCAGACCAGTCTTGGGTCGTTCTCAAAACGGTCCAGTCTTTTTGAGGTCGGTATTGGAACAGTCCGGTCTATTTTCAGACCGGTCCCGTTCGGTCTTTTTCCCATCCGGTCTTTTTTCGGACCGGTCTTTTTCGGTCTCGTCTCTCAGTCTTTCCATACGCCTTTTTCGTATCGATTTACGAGTTTTTAATTTTATAAAAGAAAAAGTAAAATAAATTAGATAGTTTGTGATTAAAAATTGTATAATTAACACAAAATTTATATATTTATAAAGTTTGGTTACAAATCTATTTTTTCAGACTGGTCTCAAACCGGTCCGGTCTTTTTAGGACCAGTCTCCGAACGGTCCGGTATTTTTTGGACCGGTCCGCGACAGTCTTAAGCTGGTCTTTTTTCGATCCGGTCTTTTTTAAGACCTGTCTTTTTTCGGTCCGGTCTCGTTTTAGACCGGTTCGGTCTCGGTCTTTTTTTTAGGTCCGGTCCGAAACCGGTCTTTTTGTGCAGGTCTACATAAGGGCCTAAGTTGGTTTATTGATATATTTTTCTTTTTTTATACTTGTACCTCCTAACATTTCTCTAGCATCTTGTTAGTTTGTTTTGTTGTTAACGCATTCGTTGTTCAAAAAAATATAAAATAAAAAATCTAAACTAAATTAAAGTATATTGTTATTATCCATAAACAGTAAATTGTATAAAATGAAAATAATCTAAAACATATTTATTTGTATGCATTTAACTCCTATTTGAATCAAACAATTTTTTTTCTTAACTATAGTAACTTTTTAGTTGTCACTTCGATATTTTAACAAATTGATTATGTTTTTTCCATTGTTCAAGTACTAGGTTTCGGGAAAAAAAATTCTATATAGAAACTAATATGTATGATGATAGAGTTTAATTGAAAACATTAAATTAAATATATCATGTACAAAAACAACGATGCGTGAAAAACACCTAAAGAGGACATAGCGTAAGTATAGAATAGGGGGAATGGGAGGTAGTTTGTAATTGCTAATAGGGGTGACATTGGCACCAAATTTAGACTGAACTACTACTACCCCGAAATGCCCAATCTGTACGAACTGAATATCAATCTCATTCTAGTACCCATTTTGAAGAGTATAACTTACAAAGCCCATGTTTCATTGTGTACAACAACCACTGGTATCGACAACATTCCAATCACATATTAAAAAAACTAATTTCCCTTTAACCCAATATTTTACTCTCATTAGCATTTCAATCCAATCCAATCCAATTGTCTATTAAAAAACATTAAAAGAATATATCAATATTGATATCATATCGTAGAGAAACTAATCACGTATTTTAATATACTTTATTTTTTTTACTCAAAATAAAAAAAATTACTAACAAAATTAGTTTTAGTTACAAAAGTAGTTTAACTCCACTAAATAATATTATTAAAAAGAGATGAGCTTCCGTGATCTTGGGTTGTATACACCAAATAGCATTTAGTTTTGCTTTTCTTTTAATTTATAGATAGTGAGTGGCTCACCAAAATCATCCCAATGGAGGTAGTCTTACCCCAATGGAGGTAGTCTTAGGTACACAAAAGCAGAAGTTTTTTTTATTATAAGATCCAAATATATATATCCAAATATATATGGGATCTGGAACAAAAAGAAAAAAAAATATTCCTCAAAAGATAAATATAATAAAGATTAAAAAATATATATCATTTACTCTTCAATTTAAATGTGTTCAATTAGCACTAACAAACAAAGTTGTTTATCTTTTAAGATAATTTGAATTTCAACCAAACTTTAAGTTCTAAAAAACATTTAGCTAATAATTCTTTTTATATATATAAACTAAATAGCCCATAAATTTTGACCACCTTGAAATTGTGGGCCCTAGACGGTCGCCCGAGTTGCCCACCGTCTGAACCAGCTCTATATAAGATGAAGTTAAGACACCAAATAAGCAAATAATACAGTAATAAAAACTTAACCCAATATTATAAGTGTTGGAAGTTTGAATTTTTTTGTACATGTATGGTAAGAAAAAAAATAGAGAAAAGAATCATATATCATTTGAAACCGGTATGAAAAATAAGCCTCATATAGACAACAAAAAATAGTGTAAATTACACACATGGTCCCTATGGTTTGGGGTAATCTGTGCGGTTAGTCTGTACAAAGAATTTTTAACTAGGACGGTCCTTATTAATTAAAGTACAACCACAATTACAACCATGATCCCCTCTAGGGATGAACGTGGGTCCAAACCCGAATCAGATGGACCCGGAACCGGTTAATGGGATGGATTTTGAAGAAACGGAAACCGGACCGGTATGTAGGAACCGGTTCCGGTCCGGTTTTCCGGTTCTAAATCTCATCCCTAATCCCCTCCCCTTCCCAGTCATAGTTTGACATTATTCACCTCGCCGCCTCAGCGACAACTTCAAACCTAATGAAGCTCTTCTGATTCCCCTGATCCATACAAAATCCCTTTCCAATTTCTAATTCTCACACCCACAAACCCAAATTTGCAAACCTATAAAACATATTATCATCTACCAGATTTCTGATTCAACCGGATTTGCTCCACCCACCATCACAAAATTCTGATATGCAAAATACCCACCTAGAAATTCATTACACCTACTCCACATCAACATATTGCATACTTTGTCAGGTCATTTTTGAAGACACCATCACATAATTCTGATTCAAAGCCAACCGAAGCAAATTTCTTTTGGGGAAGGTTTACCTACAGCTGAGTTGCAGACCGGATTCTTCCACAAATCAGAAATCTACCATGGATGATTTGAGAGAGAGAGAGAGAGGTGCGTTTTCTGGTGATGGCACACTTTTATTGTGACCATGGACCTAAATCTTTAATGCTGAAATGTTTTTGTAGTTGATCTTTGACCTATTTAATTTTGTATATATACAATCTGATCAAAATTAGGGCTAGGGCAACCAATTAATACATGCAATGTTGAAAGTTGAAACCCTAAATTGAATAATAAAAGTCTATAACATCACCAACAGTAAAATAAAGTAGCAAATCGCAACAAAATCTTACAAGTAATGTATCCAAATCGGTATCAGAATTTTTTTTAAAAAGAAAAACTTACTTGCTAATAAAAATATAAAACAAAAGCAATGATCTTGATATGTGTTTATGTATCTTTAGAGGTACCTCAAAGATCTGCTCTTCCTGGAAACCTTGGAAATGGGATTACATCCCTGATATTATCAATTCCAGTTGCAAACAAAATCATCCTCTCAAACCCTAGCCCAAATCCACTATGCTTCACAGTTCCATAGCGCCTCAAGTCAAGGTACCACTCATATGGCTCAAGTGGAAGTCCCATTTCAAGAATCCTGTATACCCAATCAAATTTTATTATATTTTTTTAAGTGTATATACAATTAACAAATTATTGAAACAGAAAAATCATACCTTTCTTTGATGACCTCGTAATTCTCTTCTCTTTGACTTCCTCCAATTAGTTCACCAACCTATTGGAAAACAAAGGGTATTAATTAATGTCTAAAGTTTTGATATATGATTTCTCAAAAGAACATTACCTTTGGGACAAGAACATCCATGGCAGCTACTGTTTTGTTATCAGGGTTAACTTTCATGTAAAATGCTTTGATCCCTTTTGGGTAGTTGTATACAATCACAGGGGACTCGAATTTTGTCTCTGTTAGGTATCTGCACAGTGCAAAATCTTGAAATTAGGATGAATTTACATATTGTTGGGGTTGAAAATAGAAACAAACAAAAAGGACTACTTTTCATGTTCTGATGCCAAATCAATTCCCCATTCTACTTTGTTCTCAAATTTGTGGCCTTTAGAAACAGCTTCTTCAAGAATTGTCACTGCTTCTGTGTAGGTAAGGCGTACAAAATTGGTAGAAGCAACCATTTTTAGACGACTAATGGCGTGTTGGTCAAACTTTTCAGCTATAAATTCCATGTCATCAAGACAGTTGTCGAGTAACCATTGGCACATAAACCTAACATATGCCTCTGCACACTTCATATCATCCTGCATAAACGTAGGAATATGAACAAATCAAATCCATTTTCTTGGAGATTCAGTAAAGAAGTGTGTGCATTTTGCATTGTATATAAGCATTGTTGTACCTCAATATCAGCAAATGCAATTTCGGGTTCAACCATCCAGAATTCTGCAAGATGTCTTGATGTATGAGAATGTTCAGCACGAAAAGTTGGGCCAAAAGTGTAAACACTGCTAAGTGCACAAGCAAAGGTCTCAACTTGAAGTTGCCCAGAAACAGTTAAGAAGGCTTGGCGTGCAAAGAAATCTTGACTATAGTCAACCTTCCCATCTTTCTTTGGGATACCAGGTTTCTGGTTGAATCTCTCTTCAATCTTTGAAAGAGTCTCTTTAGCTTTAGTAAGTTCAGCAACAGCAGCTACTATTTCAGGTCTACCAGCTTTATCAGACTTCAATTTGGCAACTGTTTCACCTTTTTCCTTGACAGCAGCCCTGGCTGCATCTACATCTTCTTGGGATGGAGGGGGATTCTTAAGGAGTTCCTTTTCAAGTTTTTCTGAATCGTTTATTAAAGTTGTGACCTGAAACATCTCTCCAGCGCCTTCACAATCACTAGTGGTGATGATTGGAGTGTGGACATAGAGAAATCCATGCTTTTGGAAGAACGTGTGAGTTGCATAAGCTAGTGCGTTACGAATTCGGGCAATAGCAGAAATCTGAAATAGTAACAGAAACAAAGTTTGAAACTAAGCAGATCAAATATGCAGTATCTAGAAACTAAGATCAACGAAATGAAAAACTCACAGTATTGGTTCTCGGTCGGAGATGAACGTAATCCCTAAGAAATTCAAGTGTCAATCGCGTTTTGGGCAATGGATACTTCGCAGGATCAGCAGCTCCAACATCTAGAACCTTTGAAACCTTTAGTTCAATCGACTGTTTCCCTTGTTTATCTGCAGGAGGCATCTGAAGCACACCTTCCACGTGCAGGCTAGTACCAGTCGGAGTAACCTGACCTAGCGGCGCCACATCCGAGTATATTATAAGCTGGAGGTTCGCCGGACATGATCCATCGTTAAGTTCAAGGAAGGCAAATGAACCTTTGCCTTGTTCTCGCCCTTTCTTCACCCAGCCGCCTACCTTTAAGGTCTGCCCAGCAAGTCCAGCGCCGCCGTCAGGACGGCCCAAAATCGATCGAACCAGTACACGCTGTGAGAACTCGGCTTCTTCGACGGTTTCGGAAATTGTTAACTTGTCGACCGGCAGCACTCCGTTGTCTGCCATTTTCGGGAGCTTGAAAGAAACGAGTGCTGCTTTGTGTCTAAACCCTAACGCATCGCTTTAAATTTGCGTAAAAAGGTAAACACAATATATGTTACATATTAGCCCCTCAGACTATCGGATAGTTGTTATATAGACATCATAGTTTCCATTATTGTCGTATAATGGGCTTAACTTTGAACCACATTTTTTTTTTCCATTAGTTGTTTCTCAATTCATCTATGATAATAATCATCTATGATAAATGAATGTTTTTTACTACTTGTCACATTTTCATTTAATTTGATAAATGTTATTTTATAGTTATTTTGAGAGTAAATTACACGAATGGTCCCTATGGTTTCGGGTAATTTGAACGTTTGGTTTCTATTTTATTTTTTTAACTCGGAAAGTCCTTATTGTTTGTTTTTGTTACGTGTTTGGTCCCTACTGTTTGTTTTTGTTACGCGATTGGTCCCTATCTTACCTAAAAAGACTATTAATTAAATAGGAAAAAATTATGGGATATGTAAGTTAAAGTGAGGGGGTTGGGATTGAGGTGTGTTTATTTAAATATTTTAAAAAATCAAAGGCAAAATAGTTTTTTTAGGTAAGACATTGACCAAACGTGTAACAAAAACAAACAGTAAGGACCTTTCGAGTTAAAAAAATAAATTAGAGACCAAACGCGTTAATTACCCTAAACCATAGGGACCATTTGTGTAATTTACTCTTATTTTGAATTAAATTTTTCCAATGAGTTTTTCTATTTTATTAAATTTCACATAATATTTTCATTTAATAATTGTGATAAATATAGTAATCAATGGATATTAATTCCATTAATGAACTTATATTTTAATTTCAAAATTTCCAAAATTAAAACTTATTAGTTTCTTTTATTTATTTAAATTTATTGTTTAAATTTAAAATATGAAAAAAAAATATAATAATAATTCATTATTTTTCTTATTTTCTTATAAATTCAAAGCTCTCAAATATTTTATCATTTATATTTAAGTTTTTCTTTTAAATTAGTTTATATAAAACATGGGTCTCACAACTAGTAGAACATAAACTAATCACACGACACACCAATTACTATCTATTTTGACAAACCACTTACTATTTTTTTTTAAGACTCATCTCTTTCCTTTATTTATAACAATTCAACAACATAAAATTATATATTTCATAAACTAACCATACGACACACCAATTACTATCTATTTTGACACACCACTTACTATCTCTTTCCTTTATTTATAACAGTTCCATAACATAAAATTGTATATTTAAGAATAAAGAATATAATTAATTAATTGCATCATATTTACTTAAGATGTTTGTAAATGTTAACTCTCTTAAATTACCATAAGGATGAAATTACATAAAGAAAGAATAACTTAAAAGTTACAAGATGGTTCATTAAGAGGGTGTTTGGGATTTCTTTTTGAAGTTGAAAATAATTTTTGTAAAAAAATAACTTATTGATTTATGAAGGCAGGAAAAAGAGTTTTTAAAATGTTTCGATTAGTTTTTTAACGGCAAAAGTCAATAAGTCAATAAGTTAGGAGTGTTTGGATAAGTTAGTTTTTTTAATTTATTAGCTTGTTGCTTCTTAACTTATTGCGGTGGGAATAAGTAGTTTTTGAAAAAGTGTTTATAGTAGGTATAAGCAATAAGCTTTAAGCAATGGGAAATGTTTATTAAAATCAACTTATTTAGTTTATTTCCACCACAATAAGGTGATTTTTAAGGATTCCTATCCAAACACTTAAACTTAATTTATTGTGGTGGGAATAAGCAATAAACATCTTCTTTTTTCCTTATCCAAACACTCTCTTAAAAAGTGTTTTGTTGAAAAATGTTTTTTTTTCTTTCTTTTTATATCCTAATAAGTTATAAATTATTTCAAAAGGTCATAATTTGTTACTTCTTGAAAACTCATTTTTAAAAGCTAAAAAAAAGGAGTTTTAAAAGTTTTTATTAGGGTATATAAGAGACTTGACAATCAATTTGTTGTATCTTACAAATAATAATGTTAAAAATTCTAGAATAATGACACAAATTAGATGTAGTGTTAAGAATACTAGAGAATTACCAATTCAAAACATATAATTGAATCAACGCAAACTAACAAATTCCAGAGATCATAAAACTAATGTTAAGAATCCTAGAAAAAAAAAACACATAAATCAGAAATATTCAAAACTAATGTTGAGAATTCTAGAAAAATACCATAAATCAGATACATCCTAGTCTCCTCGTACTCTTGTGGGGAAATAAACTTATTAAGGTAATTAATTTTTCGGTTTGTTCACATCTGTGTAACTATCCTTTTTTTTTGTACACATATAAGTAATGAACTTTTTAGAAGTGTTCGCATATATGACTAGCTGTAGCAGGTAACATCTAGTCATAATGGTCATATGCGAACACTTTCAAAAAGTTCGTTACCTAGATATCTACAAAAGAAAATAGTTACCCATATGTGAACATACCAAAAATATAAGAGTAAATTACATGAATGGTCCCCGTGGTTTGGTTAATTTATGAGTTTGGTCTCTAACTTATTTTTTAACTCGGATGATCTCTCCTGATTATTTTTGTTACGCGTTTAGTCACTGTCTTACATGAAAAGACTATTGTGCATTTTTTAATTAATTCCTTATTTACGTAGTTATATCTTATATATTTTAAAAAATTAATGGACCTCGCATATTTGTATTTCCTTACCCTAAATCTGAAACCACATATGTGAGGTCTATTAATTTTTTTAAAAAATATAAAAAATAAATATATAAATAAAAAATTAATTAAAAAGGCACAATGGTCTTTTTAAGTAAGACAGTGACCAAACGGGCAACAAAAACAAACAGTAGGGGTCATCCGAGTTAAAAAATAAATTAGGTATCAAACGCACAAATTACCTAAACCACAAGGACCATTCGTGTAATTTACTCTTACATTTTCTGTATGTTCAGGTTTGCGTAACTCTTTTTTTGTATACATCTAGTTAATGAATTTTTTGAAAGTGTTCACATATGACCATTATGGTATGTTATGACCGGATTATAACATGTTACAGCCGGTCATATTGGTTATATGTGAACACTTCCAAAAAGTTTTTTTACTAGATGTATACAAAAAAAAAAGATAATTACTTAGATATAAACAAACCGAAAAATTAATCATTTTAAAAAATTCTATTGTTACGCTCTCTTTGCCCTAAAATAGGAGGATTGGACACATTACTCAACAAATAGATCAAAGTTAGAGCCCAAAAAATAATAGACCCATTGCTGCCTTGGGCTGTGGCCTAGTTGGCTGCCAAATTTTGGTTTTCTGTTTTTCTAGCCGTTGGGGGTTCCTCCGCTTTTGAATCACATAAAGTCGTATAAATCCCGCCTTCAACTCTCATTTCAAACCAACGCAACGTTATCTCTCTTTACAGGAGCGTTGCTGCGTCAATTTTCTCCCATCTCTTTCATACACATCTTTCTCTCTCTAGAACAGTCAGAAAGAGAGAAAGACTTCGAAGATGGCCACTAACATCGGAATGATGGATGCTGCTTACTTCGTCGGTAGAACGGAGATCTTAGCCTGGATTAACTCCAGTCTCCAACTCAGTCTCTCCAAAGTTGAAGAGGTTTGTTTTATCCCTAAATTTATATCTAGATGAATTTATTGAATTGTTGTTATTTGTGGTTTCGAATGTTTTATCATCGATCGTTGAGCATAAAAATTCTAGAGGTAGTTTCTCTATTTCTGTTTAGATCGTGAATTGTGTGTATTTAGAATGACTAAACTTAGAGATTTGAACGGATCTGATTGTTGCAGGCGTGCTCCGGCGCAGTTCACTGTCAGCTAATGGATGCTGCACATCCTGGAATCGTACCGATGCACAAGGTCAATTTCGACGCCAAGACAGAGTACGATATGATTCAGAACTATAAGGTTCTTCAAGACGTTTTCAACAAATTAAAAATCACTAAGGTTTTTCCCAGTTTATGATTCTCGAATTATGCTTAGTAATTTAGTAATTTTATATATGAATGCTGTTAGTAACTAATCTATGCTACAGCACATTGAGGTGAGCAAGCTAGTGAAAGGAAGACCCCTGGATAACCTTGAATTCATGCAATGGATGAAGAAATACTGTGATTCTGTTAGCGGCGGTGGTCATCACAAGTAAGTTCTTACCATTAACTGCTATACGAGTTCTTCAATACGACATAAGAATCAAAATCGGATAAGTAGTTGAAGTTGTTAATTAGCTGCTTCCATTTTATGTTATAGTTACAATCCTGCTGAAAGAAGAGAATCCTGCAAAGGTGGGAAAGATGTAAGCAGGAAATCCGCACCAACACAACCAACCAGAGGCTCCACAGGTGCACCTAAGCATCACCCCGCCCGAAGAGGAGATCCATCTTCTGCACACTCAGCAGCTCCACCTGTCAAGACCTCTAAACCACCTTCTTCAACTCCAAACGTCTCTGTGTACGATCAACAGGTACCATGGTCACACTTACACTCACACAAACAGTAATCCAGATTCTCCAACACTTACAGGCTCACATATTAGTTACATTACTGATTATGCAGATTACAGAGTTAAAGCTAACAATGGATAGTCTTGAAAAAGAAAGAGATTTCTACTTTGCAAAGCTGAGGGATATCGAAATCCTGTGCCAATCTCCTAATATCGCAAACCTGCCTGTATTGTCTCTCTCGCCTCTTTAAGTTCGTTTTAATGGCTTGCAACTTTTTTGCTTACTCTGGATTATTTGCAGATTATTGATGCGATACAGAGGATCTTGTATGCTGCTGAAGAGGATCCATCGATAGTGGAAGAAGCTCAAGCGATGCTTCTTAACCAAGAGAAGCAAGGAGTCTCTTTGACCCCGATATATGAAGGTGTAGAAGAAGAGTCGAAGGTGAAATTCGATAGTCAAAAGAGGAAAAGCATTATTAATCTTGAGGTTGATCTTGCTGCAAGTAACACGTTGTCTCCTAGACAA